ATTTTCAAAGTATGTTATGTACATCAAGAACATAAACATAACCTGTTTTACTTTAAAACTTTATCTGGTATATATATAAAAGATTTTAAAAAATTGATATATTAGGTATAAAAGCATCCTATAAGCTGCTTCCCTTCTTTACATTGAAAAGGTTTCCAGGACAAAAACAGCTTCAGTGGTATGATGAAATTCTGACAAGAACTGAGTTAGGTGTCAGTTTCAGCATTCGATATTCATGGACTATGGATCCTATTTTGTAATCAAATAAGTCTAATTTTCATTTATAACTGTGGGTAGAATCTTTTGGGGATTTCTAGTCATTTCCTAGAAGAGTGGAACTCTATAAATTTTGGCAATCAGTGAGGACAGTTGTCACAAGCAAGGCTGCTCAACAGGAGCCGACATACGTCATTCACATTTCCCCTAAAACAATTGTTTCAAACTCATACCACCAATAATAGCTTGTCTAAAATGCCTATCATGAATGCAAAAAAACTTAAACAGGACTATGACCATAGCCACCAGGCTTTATAAAGAGCAACAAGTCTTAGATCTCAACTTTACTGTTTTTGGTAAATGCTGTTCAGTTGGATCTGACTCACAATGACCCTGTGAAGGGTTTCCTATGAGCAGCTAGCGAATTTGAACCACCGACCTCATGGTTCAAACCCACGTTGCAGTCAAGTGCCTTATCCCACAGCACCACACCAAAATTCATTACTCTACTTTACTAGACTACTAAAAAAAAGTTTATCCAACATATTTAACCTTTTGTTTATCTATTAGCTGAACTAGCTAAATTAACAAATTTACTCGTGGAACCCTTATACTAGGTCGCTATGGGTCGGAACCGACTTAATGGTACTTAACAACAGCAATCTTACGTCTCTACTACTTTAACTCAAAACAGTTAAACATGAACCTTTCCTCTATTTCCAAAGATACTGTTTGTATATAAAAAGGGAAGTCTATCAAATACATTTGTCATTTTTCCCCTAGTGAATGAATAAAAAACTGCTTGCTCAAAGATGAATTCCATTCCTGTTTTGAAAACTGCCAGATGGTGTGCTATTAGGAAATGTCTCATTCAGAGTTGTCTTTGAATTCTCTTTTAGCTTTTCAAAGAAGTAAACTGGCTATTTGGGAATAAGCACGAGGCAAAGAACATATAATGGACACTTACATTAGGTTTCAACTCTATTAAGGCATGATGCAGCCAATATATATTTCTAACTACAATTTGCATTACCTGAGCATACATTTTCTGGGTAGATAGGAATAAGTAATCTAGAAACAGCCAATCTATACTTTGTTGCTGTTAAGTGCCATTGAGTCAATTCCAACTCATAGCAACCCTGCACAGGGTTTCCAAGGAGCAACTGGTGGGTGGGTCTGAACTGCAGACCTTATAGTTTGCAGTCCAGAGCTTATCCGTCAGTGCCATACAAGGAGCCTTCTAACTTATGGATCAGGAAGCAATGTATGCATAACGGAATAATCTCTGGAGATGAAAGACTTGGACTCCAGTCCAAGATCCTTCTATTTATCACATGACCTTGGGAAACATTCCTAAATTGTTCCAGGTTATTTTCTGAAGAGCAAAAGAGAGATAAATAATTGCCCTGAAGATATAACACACCTAACTTGTATTATATTTAAATGAGAAAACGAAAGTGCTTTATAAAGCTGTCAATCATTTTACCCAAAAATCCTATGGAAAAGAGATTATATTTAGAGATTACTAATCCATTTTAATCTTTTTGTTTCCTTATTCAGAAATGAGGTTTGCCTCCTAGAGAAAGCAGGATGAAAATAATTAAAATGAGCTATACTTTATATACTTAAGGAGCTCTGGGAGCGTAGTGGTTACGAATCAGGCTGCAACCCTCAAAGTCAGCAGTTCGAAACTACCAGCTGCTCCGTGGGAGAAAGATGAGGCTTTCTGCTCCCGTAAAGATTAACAGCCTCGGAAACCCTGTGCAGGGTCATTATGAGTCGGAACCGACTCCACAGCACATAACAACAACATACTTTATATAGTTCTGTCAGACAGTAACAACAGTGATTATTCCAAAGGCATATAAGAATAGAGAATAATTTGAAACAACAGTGAAGATAAAAGTAATTAAGAAAACCTTAGACCAATAAAGTAGTAAGTTTTCTAAATGAGGTTAAAATCACAAAGCTGACATGGATTTATAAAATAAGTGAAGTATAAGAATAGACAATAGTTTGAATGAATTCACTTCCTTTATTGCAGTAATCTCTGTACAAAGCAGCAACTGCAATATTCAATGTTAAAACATTAGAAAAGCATTTGTGTGATAGTTATAGTACAGTATTATCAAAATATTACATTTTCAAACTTAGTAGATAATCATCCACCAGAGCTCAAATCTTTAAATTATTTCCATAGTCTTTAAAAATATGTCAGAAAGCATATAAAAAGAATGTAAAAGAAAATCTAAAATACAAATATGAAATATTTAACAAATAAATATTTGATTTAATTAGCTGTTAATTATCAGCATAACACCATTTTCTCTAAACCCATTGAATTTTTATCTATAGGATTAATGAACTGTCAAATGCCATTGCATAATCATTTATTTCCAAGTTATTATTACAAATGATTGAGAAAAAAAAAAGCAAAAAAAAAGGTGTTAAAATAATCAAAACTCAGCATAAATAAAATAGACAAGAATAACTTCAAAACTACCTAGTAATTCTAAGAACTGCTGATATTTATTACAGCAGTACAACAACCTTGAAAAATTTTAACCTGGTAGCTAGTGTTAAGCAAAAGTAATTCAATTTTTTAAAAAAGTGAAAAGCTTCTTACATTATTTCACAGACAATATTACCCGACCCCCATGATGCATATTTTAGATATATTTAATGTACTCTGTACACACATGTATGTAGAAACACACATTTGGTTCCTGTATAGCATAAATCACAATGATATTTTCCTCAATGGGTAAAACTTGAAAGAAAAAGAACACAAACAGTAAATGTACCTGTGCACATTTCAAGATAGCAGCACTCAGCTTCATGCCCTATTATCCACTGAAAATTACAAAAATGATATTATGTTTATTGAATAATATGACCTTTTTACTGTATTTTGCCCCCAAACACTGCAAAACCTTCAATAAACGGAACAGGGCTGTTAGTTAACAATTTGGAAAACTTTCTAAAAATACTTCATTTTCTTAGCATTCTTTATTCAAAATTGTTACCAGATCTCCATTTTATATTAATTTATTTATGGTCATGCAGCAAAAATGCTACAGTATAGGAAGTAACATTTATTTTATAGATTTCTATCCACATTCATGAAAAGCTGCATAAATAAATCCTCTACCACTAAAATGTACAAAGAACCACTGAACAGTATGTTAGATGAAATGTTCTCCATTTTCTACCTGAATGATAACTGTGAAGTTACAACCTATACTTCAAACAATCAACTTGCTTCTCCATGAAACCAATTATCTGTCAATATAATTTTGAGCTTATGTCTACTAAAAAAAAGAAAAAATTAATCTAATGATTCTTGATCACTTTAAGTTCCAAAAAACAAGCAACATAAATTTCATTATATACACACACATGCATCTGTGTATGTATTTGTGTATATGTATACACACACACACACACATTAACACACATACAGATATACAGACATATATCCCTTGAAATGTTTTTTAGGAAATCCTTCCTTGAATAAAAAATGAAAATCTTCACATTAATAATTGTGTATAAAGCTTTTAGTAACAGTGCATATGCACTGTCAAAATTGTACTAGTAGACTATGATGTCAAAACAGACTATTGAAAAGCACAAACTGGCAGTTTTTTTAAACAAAAAAGTTTTAAAGTATTAAGAATGGGTTAAATTTAAATGTTCAGAACAATCTGTTCAAACCTGAGTATATTAAGACTAAGTGTACTTGAAAAATGAATGGATGAAGCCTAAAAACATTTCAAATAAGAAACCAGTGGTCCATTTAACCATTTGATGGAACATCATATTTTTTAATGATTTATAAAGGATGGTACAATACAGTGAAATTCCATATAGTGTTTATTGACATATATTAAATGACATTGCTTTGTCTAAATTTCCTCTAGAAAAGTCTGTTTGCATTTCTTAAAAGTCCCTCTGATTTGAGGGAAACTCTAAATTAGGACAAACCTTTCCTAATAAACTCAAATGATATTAAGGATTTTAGTGTAAAGAATAACACGTGATTTTTTTCAGTATGGTATACAGAAGTACTGGATAACTCTTCAACCGTTCCTAATGTTTTAAGAAATTATAAAAAGATATAAACAACAGCCAGTCAGGGAGAGGAGAACAAGATATATTGGGCCTTTTTTCCTAAATCTGCATATATACATATAAGCCTAACTTTGCGGTCACTTTTTGGTTAACATTTCTTTTTCCTCTCGTTTTTCATTAACTGACCTAATTTGTACTTTTAAAATCTAACAGATACCTTTACAAAAGTAATAAAAAACATACAGTACTCAAGACTAATTAATTGGTCAATGGAAAAGAAAAGTAGTAACTGTTTTATTTTAAGTGAAAGACACCAGAAAGAAAAATAGCTGAAGGCAATGTTTGACATTATATAAATTTATAAAAAAAGGATATATGGATGAAATTTGGTTAAATTCAGAAGGCACCTCAAGGCTAAAGGCTTTGTGTACTCCTTTCATCAATCAAAATATAACACACTTTTATTGCTGTTCAAGTAGCAAAGGACAACTTTACTCTCACGAGCATCAGTCCAGCAAGGAATCCTCATTCATTAAGATTGATACAGAAATGACTACAACTGAAGTCTCCATACACGTCACTGGAGTAACTTCCCATGTGCTTTCAAATCAATGAAACAGTGAAAGACAAGTCACAGTTTGCCATTGTGATGGTAACATGTCATTGAAGAGTTCAGTTTTCACTAGGCACTAGGCTGTCCATTGTAGAAACATTTAGGAATAGAAGGTAAGCACACTCTGATGATTCCCACGGACTAACAGGATGGGTGGTAGGTCCTTAGATAGAGCTTCTAACCATGCCATGTAGAGAGCACTAGACACAGCACCTTTTCGTGCAACTGGGAGACTCCTGGTACCAAAAAGAAGAAGGAAATTCAGTAATAATATATTTAAGTTGAGAAGAATAAAAGGTAATAAATAAAAAACAATCATTATAAGTCACAATAACAGCAAACCAATAACCAAACGCACCGCTATTGGGTTCACGTCAACTCATAGCAACCCTATAGAACAGAACAGAACTGTGTCATACAGTTTCCCAAGCTGTAGTTGTTACATAAGCAGATTATCACATCTTTCTCCTGTGAAGTGGATGGCAGGTTTGAACCACCTAACTTTCAGTTCATCTCTGAGCACTTTAACCATATCACCACCACGGCTCAAGTCACAGTAATAACTAAAAATCAGGACAGTTACAGAACACTTCTGAGTTCCGAGAAATTGGGCACATAGAACATTAGTATACTCTCATTCTACTCTACTAGACCAGGACTCCAAGCAGGCATTACCAACTATATAAAAGAAGGGGACATGTATCTGTAGGTGGGAATCTTGGGGGAGTAATAGACAAAAGCCACTTTAAAAATTTAACTTCATGGGTTTATCTCCATGAGGAAGTTTTAACTTTCAAAGTTTAAACAGAGTATAAGTTTTAACTAGTAGCCGTCATACATCACGTACACTACTTAATGGCTATGTTATAATATCTCTAAAGCTGTAACATGTTGAAAAAGTGGAAAAAATTCTAGAATAACAAACTATACTGAATAATTATATTCTTACAAGCTTAAGATTTTTGCTTCGCTTTCCTCCTCCATTAAATGATTTCTCCATAAGCTTAAAGGAAAGTGGAGTCCAACTTTTCCCCTTACAGATACTAAGTCATTATGGGTTTGCTATAGGTAAGATTCAGAATAAAAATGAATAGCCAGAGGATCGTATGATCATCTAGGGAGAAGAGCACAATGAGCAGAATGTGGGACCCTAACCACAGAAGCAGCAACACCAGAGATGGAGGCAGAGATATGACATGGAGAGAGACAGCAGCTGAGGACTCCAGACTCATGGAAAGAGAAAGACTGTGAGCTGGTGGCCAGGAAGCAGGCTTGTAGAATGTACCCTTGGGTTGTTTAAATGATTATACAGTGCTGAGTATCTTTGCGTATATCAAACAAAAAAAAAACCAAATTAGAGGGAATAGAAACAAATACTGTTGAATGATGATGCACAGACAAGATTGTAATCATTGCAATGAAATGAAATATGATGAGTGTAAAACTGATGTGCTAATTGGTTTTGCATTCATTGTCAAAAAGAACATATCCAGGTCAGTCATAAAGTACAACACTGTCTGTGATAGGATAATATCCATGCACCTATAGGGAAGACCAGTTAATACCACTATTATTCAAATTTATGCACCAACCACTAAAGCCAGTGAGGATGAAATAGAAGAATTCTACCAGCTTCTTCAATCTGAAATCGATCAAACATGCAAACAAGATGTATTGATCATCACTGGTGATTGGAATGCAAAAGTTGGGAGCAAAGAGGAAGCATCAGTAGTTGGAAAATATGGCTTTGGAAATAGAAATTATGCTGGAGATTGCATGATAGAATTCTGCAAAATCAATGATTTGTTCATTTCAAATACCTTCTTTAGACAGCTTAAGAGAAAATTATACACATGGCCCTCACCAAATGGAATACACAGAAATCAAATTAACTACATCTGTGGAAAGAGACGATGTAAAAGCGCCATATCATCAGCCAAAACAAGGCCAAGGGCAGATTGTGGAACAGACTATCAATTGTTCATACACAAATTCAAACTGAAACTGAAGAAAATGAAAACAAGTCCACGAGAGCCAAAATACGACATTGAATATATCCCACCTGAATTTAGAGATCATCTGATGAACATATTTGATATATTAAACACTAAAGATCAAGATCACGAGTTGTGGGATAACATCAATAACAAGCAAAGAGTCATTAAGAAGACAAGAAAGAAGGAAAAGGTCAAAATGGATGTCAGAAGAGACACTGAAACTTGCTCTTCAACGTAGAGATGCTACAGCAAATGGAAGAAAAGATGATGTCCAAGAGCTGAACAGAACATTTCAAAGATCAGCTTGAGAAGATAAAGTCAAATACAACAAAATGTGCAAAGATCTGGTGTCAGAAAACCAAAAAGGAAGAACATGCTCAACGTTTCTCAAGCTGGAGGAACTGGAGAAAAAATTCAAGTCTCAACTTTAGTTATTGAAGGATTTTCTGGGCAAATTTTTGAATGATGCATAAAGCATCAAAAGAAGATAGAAGGAATACAAAGAGTCACTGTACCAGAAGGAAATGGTTGATGTTCAATCATTTCAAGATCAAGAGCCAATGATACTCAGGGAGGAAGTCCAAAGTGCATTAAAGGAACTGGCAAAGAACAAGGCACCAGGAATTGATGGAATAAAAATTGAAACCTTTCAAGAAAGTGCGGCAGCACAGGAGGCACTCACTCATCTCCGCCAAGAAATTTGGAAGACCACTATGTATCTGGCCAACTGATTGGAAGAGCTCCAAATTTGTGCCCATTCCAAAGGGAGGTGACCCAACAGAATGCAGAATCATTGGATGATATCTTGATATCCCATGCGAGTTAAGTTTTACTATAAGTAATACAGAAACGGCTACAAGCATATATTGACAGAGAACTTCCAGAAGTTCAAGCAGGATTCAGAAGAGGTCGTGGAACAAGGGATATCACTGCTGATGTCTGACGGATCTTGGCTGACAGCAGAGAATATTGGAAAGATGTTTACCTGTGCTTTATTGACTACGCAAAGGCTTTTGATTGTGTGAGTCATGACAAGCTATGGACAGCACTGTGGAGAATGAGTACCGTGAACACTTAATTGTGCTCATGAGAAACCTGTACATGGACCAAGAAGCAGTTGTTCAAACAGAACATGGGAACACTAAATGTTTTAAAATTAGGAAAGGTGTGCGACAAGGTTGTATTCTTTCACCACACTTATTCAACCTGTATGCTGGGCAAATAATCCAAGAAGCTGGGTTCCATGAAGAAAAATGTGGCATCAGGATTGAAGGAAGACTCATTAACAACCTGCGATATGCAGAGGATACAACCTTGCTTGCTGAAAGTGAAGAGGACTTAAAACATTTACTGATGAAGATCAAAGAGCGCAGCCTTCAATATGGATTACATCTCAATGTCAAGAAAACAAAACTCCTCACCACTGGACCAATAAACAACATTCTTGTCAACAGAGAAAAAATTGAAATTGTCAAGGACTTCATTCTTCTTGGATCAACTATCAACACTCGTGGAAGCAGCAGTCTAGAAATCAAACGACGTATTGCATTAGGCAAATCTGCTGCATAAGACCTTTTTAAAGTGCTGAAGAGCAAAGATGTCAGCTTGAAGACTAAGGTGCGCCTGACCCAAGCCATGGTATTTTCAATAACCATATACAAGCAAAAGCTGGACAGTGAATAAGGAAGACCCTAGAATTGATGCTATTGAGTTAAGGTGTTGGAGGAGAATATTGAAAGTACCATGGGCTGCCAAAAGAACCAATAGATCTGTGTTGGAAGAAGTGCAGCCAGAGTGCTCCTTGGAGCCCAAAACGGCTAAACTTCATCTCTCATACTTGAGACATATTGTCAGGAGGGACCAGTTGCTGGAGAAGGAGATCATGTTTGGTAAGGTGGAGGGTCATAGAAAAAGAGGAAGACCCCCAGTGAGATGGAATGGCAACAATAGTGAGGTTGGCCCAGGATTGGGCAGTGTTTCGTTCTGCTGTGCATAAGGTCGCTATGAGTCGGCACCGACTCAATGGCACCTAACAACAACAATCACTCAGTTTACAATAAATAAACCCACCCACCTAAACAAAAAAATTATATATATATATATAATGTATATATATTATAAAATGAATAGCTAAGAAAATCTTAGCACAGATATTACTTACATGACAATGATATTAGCTGTATTTGAATGTTCTTTTAATAATTCATTTAGCCTGATTTGCCGGTATGTCTGAAATTAACAAAATAGGACAAAGTCATTTTAAGATCAGTTAAAAATGAAAATCTATCATGGTTCATGATTACACATTTAGGTAAAAAGAAACTAAAATGAATTTTGGTATAATAAGAAAATATCAGTTCCCTCTTTATAAACAAAATTGATGTTTTATGTTGTCTATGCATAAATCCAACTTAACGTAGATTTAATTTATACAACTGCTTCCTCTTATATCAAACTGAAGTTCTCATGATTTACTTATGTCTTTAGAATTTAAAAAAAAAATCTATATATATGGTATACTAATGAAAAGAAAGCAGAAAAGAAAGAATACCTTGGTCTTATAAAGTTCAAGCTCATTATCTGTTATCAGCCATGGTTCATCTTCTTTCAACTTATCTGCAATATCTTGTTCTTTATCATCTTCATGAAGTCTATATGGTTCAATCATTTCATCAAAAGCTACAATACTGAAAAAAAAAAACAGGAAGAATATTACCAACTCACCGTATGTTTAACACTCTATAAGAGAAAGATCTTAAACACAAAATTATAATGTGAAAAGTTAGTGCTTCCCATCTCTTATGCTCCCCTTTATACCCTAACTATGACTATCACTTTGGCAATTTATTCAGAAAATAGTAATCTCTGGTATCTCAAACTAATTAGAAATTTAGAAACACAATCACAGTAATAGAATTACAGTTTTAACCACAGCATCCAGTCTCTCTATATCTAATCTATCCTTGTCCCATACCATATATACCCTTAACCTGAATAAATTTTCAACACTTTAGGCAAAACTATCTTTTGAGCAAAAAATCAAATTCTGTTAGTCTTTCACCCCACACCCACAAAGGCTTTCAAGTATCAATGAATAGAAGCAGCGTAAGGAAATGTGAACATTCTGAAGAGAGAAAAGAGCAGAAGTAGCAGAATTAATCTCAACATCTAAAGAAATTTAATTAGATAAAGAATATGAATGGTATTCTAACTCCCTAGAATGACCACATTTTTCAGTACCAACTCTAGTTCAAAGCTCTTTTGTAATGTATGCCACTGAGCTGCTTCCAACTCAAAGAGACCCTGTAAATCTTCACAGGAGCAGAGAGCCTTATCTTTCCAATGTGGCGCAGTCTGGTGGTTCTGAACTATCAACTTTATGGTTAGCAGCCTAACACCTAACCCACAGTACCACCAGGAGGCTTCCAAAAGTTCTTAGAAAAATTCCATTATCTTTTCATTCCATTTATTCATGAATTTTTTGAAACCCCTCGTATGTACTATTTTCTAATTAGAAACAATTTCTTGGTAAAAAACTTACATGGTGTATTTTACAATTTTATAGTTCAAATGAATTATTTATACAATCTCTTATTCAACATATTTTGAAGAAGAATGAAAATTATGTCTGATAAAATAAAATACACCATCATTAACAATCTATTTAATACCATTTCTGGGTAGGCTATTTCCAAAGTGTCTGCTTTGATAAAAAGAACTCTGATTGTCTTTATACAGGTAAATTCTTAGGTTCTTCAATTTTAATAATAAAACAAAATAGTGGAAATAATAATAGCTATAAGGAGCTCTGGTAGCATAGTGGTCACGAATCGGACTGCTAACCTCAGGGTCAGCAGTTTGAAACTACCAGCCGCTCCGCGGGAGAAAGATGAGGCTTTCTGCTCCCATAAAGATTTACAGCCTCGGAAACCCTATAAAGGGTCGCTATGGGTCGGAACCAACTCCACAGCACATAACAACCACAGCAAATGTGGAGTAGGGACTAAGTGGTCTTATGAATGTGGTAGAATCTGTGGGGGTCCAAATGGTTAACTGCTCAACTATTAGCTGAATAGAAACCCAGAGGCACCTCAAAAGACCTCTAGTGATCTGCTTCTTAAAGGTCACGGTTTTAAAAACTCTAGAAGCAATCAATACTTCACAACTGACCTGAAGGCAGCTAACAACAGAATATATTATTGGAAGGGCCAATCTCTGAAGAAGGACATTATGCTTGGTAAAGTAGAGGGTCAATGACAAAGAGAAGATCCTCAGGGAAACAGACTGACATCGTGGCTGCAAAAATAGACTCAACCATAGCAACAAATAGTAAGGATGGCATAAAATGAGCAGTTTTTTATTCTATTATACACAGTGTTGCTACTCAACAGCACCTAGTAAAAACAACACCACAACGAATCTGGGCAGGAACAATGCAAACTTAAAGAACCATATGGAATTTCTGGGGCATTAATGATATTTAGTGGCTACGAATCGGGCTGCTAACCTGAAGGTCAGCAGTTCAAAACTACCAGCGGTTCCATGGGAGAAAGATGAGGCATTCTGCTCCCGTAAAGATTTACAGCCTTGGAAACCCTGTGCAGGGTCACTATGAGTCGGAACCGACTCCACAGTACTTAACAAAAACAACAAATGATATTCAAAAGTCACTTGTAAAGCAGTAACAAAAACTAAAAACCCTTTACACGTCCTTCATTATATGCTATTGTTGTTGTTAGATACCACTGAGTCAGTAACAACTCACAGTGACCCTATGCACAACAAGAAAACACTGCCCGATCCTGTGTCAACCTCACAATCGTTGCTATATTTGAGCCCATCACTGCTGCCAGCGTGCCAATACATCTTGTTGGGAGTCTTCCTCTTTTTCTACGACTCTCCAGTTTGCCAAACATGATATCCTTCTCTAGGGACTGGTCCCTCCTGATAATATGTCCACAAAGTATAAGAGATGAAATCTGGCTTCTAGGGAGAATTCTGGCTGTAAATCTTCCAACACAGATTGATTTGTTCTTTTGACAGTCCATGGTACTTTTAATATTCTCCTCCAACACCATAGCTCAAATGCATAATTTCTTCTTTGGTCTTCCTTATTCACAGTCTAACTTTCGCAAGCCTATGAGATGATTGGAAATATCATTGCTTGGGTCAGGCAAACCTTAATCCTCAAACTGACATCTCTGCACTTCAATACCTTAAAGAAGTCTTGTGCAGATGTGCCTATGCAATGTATCATTTGATTTCTTGATTGCTGCTTCCATGAGTGTTGATGATGGTTGATCGAGCAAAATGAAATCTTTGACAACTTCAATCTTTTCTCCATTTCTATGGATGTTGTTTATTGGTCCAGTGGTGAAGATTTTTGTTTTCTTTACGTTGAGGTGCAACCCATACCGAAGGCTGTGGGCTTTGGTATCCTCAGTTAAGTATTATAAGTCCTCTTCACTTTCTGCAAGCAAGGTTGTTATCATCAGCATATTGCAGGTTGTAAATGAGTCTTCTTCCAATCCTTATGACACTTTTTTCTTCATATAATTGAGTTTCTCAGATTATTTGCTCAGTATACAGACTTAATAAGCATGGCGAAAGAATACAACCCTGGCACACACCTTTCTTAATTGCAAACCCTTCATTGTTCTCTTATTCTGTTCAAACAACTGCCTCTTGGTCCATGCACAGGTTTCTCATGAGCGCAATTAAGTGTTCCAGGATACTCATTCTCCACAGTGCTGTCCATAGCTTGTCATGAGCCACACAATCCAAAGCCTCTACATTGTCAACAAAGCACAGGTAAACATCTTTCTGGTATTCTCTGCTTTCAGCCAAGAACCATGTGATGTCAGCAATAATATCCCTCGTTCCACATCCTCTTCTGAATCTGGCCTGAACCTCTGGAAGTTATCTGTAATGTATGGTTGTAGCTGTTTTGGAATTATCTTTAGCAAAATTTTACTTGCATGGGTTATTAATGATATTGTCTGTGATTTCCGCATTCTGGTGGATCATCTCTCTTGGAATGAGCACAAATATGTGCCGGGAGCCAGCCCCAGCAAACTTATTCCAGGGTTTCCCCGAAGGTTGATGCGGACGTCAGTGGAAAGAATTACACGTAGTCGATCAGTCGCAATGAATTCAAAATCTTCTTAATACATGCTTTATTCTTCTCTCATTCTTTACTGTCCTGCTCATTCTTTACCCCTTGCTCTCCTGCTCATCTCTTCTTCTGCTTCTTTACTCCCTTCCCCTGCTCCTGCTTTCATCTTCTTCTGCTTCTTTACTCTGTCCTCCCTCTCCTGCTTTCATTCTTCTCCATTCTTTTCTCTACCCTACTGCTTTTCCCCCCTATTCTTCTTCCTACATGCTATAGTATCCTCCTTTTTCCTTCTTTAATCTCCTTCCATTTTTTTACTTACTCTTCATTCTCCACCTCCATTCTCTACTCCATTCTACCACATTCTCTTTTCCTCTACTTTTTCCTTCTCTCTACTACTTTCCTTATTCTATCTTACAAACCCCTTATATACCGTTACAAAAAACAATGCTTTCATAGTAATCAATGTCCTTAAAATACAATCTATTCTGGGGCACATTCTTCATGGTCTATGACCCTTAGATTTACAACAAAGATGAGAAGTTACAGACATCATGGCATACTGAGACATCCTGGCACCTTGAAACCTTTTAGTTAAAACATTTGTTCATACATAAATAACTTCTATTCTTTTCTCTGAGAAGCAAGTTAACCTTCACATATGTTTCTTAACCTCTATCTATTGAGTCTTGTTAATTTTAGTCGTTAGGTGCAATTAACTTCTCCATTAACTTCTTCCGTACACTATCTGTTTATAGCCTACAAAAACATCACTTATCAGAACATTTAAAAACTGAGGCTATGAAAAACAACTTCCCTATTTTACTAATCATTAATTTAGGAACATCTAAGTCAAACTTTTTATTTAGTATCTGTATATACCTATAGCCTTTATTTATGGTCTAATTGCTTTAAGGATTCTTTACTGTCTTAAACTAAGGTTACAAGGAAGAATGTTTACAATCACTAAGCCTAAACTGGCAGTAATTCAATTGACAAATCTTGTCTCCTAGCAATCTTAAGAACATTGTTCATGTAAGTATTAAAACTACCTATGATTACAAGTAGAGTAAATGTAGCTAATATATGGCTTCTAACTTTTAATAAAAATATACTAAAGTGTAGGAGAATAAAAATCTCAAGTAAAAGGGATACTATTAAAATCATGAATAAATCAGAGAATGATTCAACAAGAGAAAAATTAACTAGGGGCCTGTGCATAGAATATTTCTTCCTTGTAGCTCTGCTATCCAAGGAAAATAGTTCATTGTTGCTTTGCTAAAACAAAGAATTCTTCTATGCCCAGGGTCCCCGTTGTCTCATTTATTTCAATTCCTCGATTAATATGTCTCAATTTCTTCATTTTAATTCCTTAATTATTATGGCCCCTGCCAAATATGGATCTCTTACAGTCAGTTGGCCAGGTAGTTGTCTTCCAAATTTCTTGGCATAGAAGAGTGAGTGCCTCCATTGCTCCCTCAGTTTGTTTAAAGATTCCAATTTGTAGTCCATCAATTCCTGGAGCCTTGTTCTTTGCCAATGCTTTCAATGCACTGTGGACTTCTGCCTTTAGCATCATTGGCTTCTGATCATATGCTACCTCATGAAATGGCTGAACATCAACTATATCTTTCTGGTACAGTGACTGTGTATTCCTTCCATCTTCTTTTAATATTTTCTGCATCATTCAGTATCATGCCCATAGAATCCTTCCATATTGCAAGTTGAGGCTTAAATTTTTTTTTTTTTTTTTAGGTTTCCTCAGCTTGAGAAATGCTGAGTATGTTCTTCCATTTTGGTTTTCTAACACCAGGTCTTTGCATATTTTGTTTTAATATTTAAGTTTCTCTTCTCGAGGTGCCTTTTGAAATTTTTTTAGCTCTTTGACCTACTTACTTCTTCTATTTGTTTTACAATCTCTACACTGGAGCGCATGCTTCAAAGTCTGTTATGACATTCATTTTGATCTCTTCCTTCTTTCATATCTTCTTAATGACCTTTTGTTTTCTTCCTATATAATGCTCTTGATGTCATCCCATCTGTCTTTGGTGTGTAAAGTATCTAATCTATTCTTGAGATGATCTCTTTAAGTCAGGTGGGATATGTTCCAAATAATATTTTGGCTCGCGTGGACTTGTTTTAATTCTCTTCAGCCTGAACTTGCATATAAGCATTTGATGGTCACTTTCACGATCTGCCCTTGGCTTTGTTTTGGCTGATGAGATGGAGCTTTGCTACCTTCTATTTCCACAGATGTAAGCAATTTAATTTCTGTGTAATTCATCTGACGAGGTCCATGTGTGTAGTCACTTTTTATGTTGTTTAAAAAGGTATTTGCAATGAAGAGGTCAATTGGTCCGACAAAATTCTATCATGAGATCTCCAGCATCATTTCTATCACCAAGGCCATATTTTCCAACTACTCATCCTTCCTCTGTGTTTCTAGCCTTTGTATTCCAATCACCAGTAATTATCAACCAATCTTGATTGCATATTTGATTAATTTAAGACTGAAGTTTATAAAATTCTTCAGTTTCACCACAACTGACTTTAGCGCTTGGTGTGTAAATCTGAGTATTAGTGGTATAATCTGGTCTTCCTTCTAGGCGAATGGACATTATCCTATCACATACAGCACTGTACCTCATGACTGATCTTGGTATGTTCTTTCTGATGATGAATGCAAACGCCATTTTTCCAATTTGTCATTCCTGGCATAAAAAACCATGTGATTGCCAGATTCAAAATGGCTAATACTAGTTCACTTCAGCTCACTAATGCCTAGGATATTATTGTTTATGCATTCCATTTCTTTTTTTTTTTAAATGTTTTATTGTGCATTATATGATAGTTTACATGAGAGAGCTTTAGTTTTACATTCATTCCATCGTATATCATCTCATTGCCATGGTTCCAAACCCCTCCATGCATCATCAACCAACCAAAGGGTATATCCTAG